TATTGTTAAGCAGCATCTTAACCACTAGACTACCCACCCTAAGAAATTATTTTTATTGGATTTTTGATTTATATATTATTACCGCCTTAATAAAAAAAAGAATTTCAACTATTGAGGTTTTTTAAAATGTTAGTGACTAAATGTTTTATTTTTATGTATTATATTTGTACCTATTCAAATTTGCCTTTTCTTTTTTCATAGTCCTATGTTCTAGCATTTTATCCCTGTTTTGTGGCCATAACTTTTATAGTCTTTTTTAGATCATTCTATTATCTCAAGTACTTATGGAGCTATTTCTCCAGTTTATTTCATCTGCCTAATTACTCCCTCATGTGGTTCATTTTCTAGTTTGGCTTATGATCTCTTATCATAAGCTCATGTTCAGTGAGAATTGCTTATTCTGCTAGACACCAGAATGAAGTGAGTTTTGCATGTGTTTTCAACGGGGCCAAGGCCCTAACCACATGGGTAAATTGGGACTTCACAACTTCATTTACCTGGCATAGGCAGGCTGGGGCTTTTCATTTCTAGCAGACATTTTTTTTAAATTCATCCAGAAACTCAAACAAGCTACAGGCTTCCTTGCTGTGGTGCTGGTTAGAGAGGTGGTTTTTTGTTTGTTTGTTTTTTCCCATTCTCATGATCCTAAAAGTCAGCCTTTCCAGGGCCTTGGCTTCAGGGAGGGGTCCCAAGTCTAGATCCTTGTGCTTCTAGAACTCACAGTCTGAATGGGTACTTAGCCCCAGTCCTTACCCATTGAAGCTTATACTCCTGATGCCTTGGAGTTCAAGTTTGCTTTTTCCCTTCACCCCTGGAGATCCGCCTCTGCTTCTTTCAATTGTTGATACTTTTTATTAAGCATTTCTGTGTTTGAAGCAGGGGTTCCCTGACTTTTTGCCCCTCCTGTTCCCAGAAATTGAATCCTTTATAAACCTTTCCAGAGAAGGCACAGGATGCTACAGAAGTCACATAGGAGGGGTGTCCAACTCAACCATGGGGGTTCAGGGAAGACTTCCTGGAGGAGTGACTACCCAGCCTGAGACCTGAAGACTGAGCACACGACTTGCCAGGCAAAATAATGTGAGTGTGCATGGGGGTGACCAGCTGGAGGACGGGGTGGGGTGAAGGTTGCAAGCAGAACAGAAAGCCCACGTGAGCAGTGAAGGGGGAAAGACCCATCATATTCTGAGAAGCATGAGTTCCAAGAACCACAAGGAGCCGTGGAGAGTGTGGAATGAGATAGGAAGTGGTGAGATCAGGAGAGGCTTCTGTGCCAGGCTGGGACAGCAGAGCCTGGACAGAGAGGAGAGGAGCCAATGAAAAGAGGCCATCAGGTCACAGAGGGGGAAACCATCAGGTTTGAAAGAAAAACAAATACGAAGAACATTCCTACCATACATAATAGACACAGCTGGTTACAGACTGCTGGAACAACTTTGCACACAGGATAACAATCCCAGCCGGCACCTTGGCATTCCAGCCCAGGGCTGCTAGGGCTCATTCCAGTGCCCTCCACCTGCTTTGGGGAGGATGGGCAAGTATGCGGTCCTTGCAACTTGTAGACATTATAGAAACACACAGCTCTCAAGAGCGTTTCCCTAGATCAACATCCCAGCCCCCAAAACTCTGCCTCAACTACCCCTGATTTATGGAAAGGAACAGAAACTTGGGAATAAAAGCACCCTGGGCCTAGGGCCAGGGGGTCTATTTTTAGACATTTTTCTCATTGCCTGTTTATCTTTCAGGCTCAGCCAAATGTCTTCCAGACCAGAGTTGAGGCTACTTGGCGGGATCCAGGAGCAAAAGAAAAAGGTAGTCTAAGGGCCAGCAGCAGGAGCAATGGCCATGACCGAAATCCCTGGACTGTCTGCCTCCTTTTACCAACCGTGCCCTCCTTAGCACCTGGCGCCCCCAGAGCAGCGGCAGGGAGGATTCATTCAAACCCTCCCCGGTGTCCTTCCCGGCTGTGGGTTGGGGCAGGTCGCAGAGGGAAGAGGAGGTGGTGGGTTTCGCAAGTTGCTGTGCACTAGCCCTGCGCAGCTGGCCCGAGCTCTCTCCCTTCCTACGCAGGGGTAGCCATGCTCGATCAACTGCACCACGGAAGCCAGGCCCTGGCGACCACGGCGGCCCCAGCAGCATTCAGCCCCTCTCCTTGGTGCTCGGGGCAGCGATGCAATCATTTATGGTAACACGGAGTGCGTTATTTTAATCCATTCAAGCCGAAAACGAGAAAAGGGCCGGCGTTGTGTCTCGATTTATAATTTACTCCAATGGACAAAAAAAAAAAAAAAAGTGGCCCCCCCCCCCCAGAAATCCCAGCGCTCGTAAAACGCGCCACCGAAGGCGCACGCAGGCCGGCAGCGATTTAACCCCTTCCAAACCGCGCCCGGGACGCCTTTTAAGGGCGCCCTCCATGAACTCTCCGCCCACCCTCCCCAGGCGACTCGAGCGGTGAGCTCCCGGCCTGGTCGGTCACCCTCCAGGTCTGCCCGCCCATCTGCAGTTCCTGGGCGGGGAAGGGAGTGTCCCTGGGGCCATCTCCGCAGCGGACCCCGAGCCCGGGCTCCTAACCTGCGCGGTCCTCCTTAAGCAGCTGCCGCGCCCCGAGTAGAGGCGGGTGTTTTGTTCTTATAAGGAGGGAAAAGTTTCTGTGACATCAGGAAATGAGTAACTCCGAAGCCCTGCGGAGCCCTGCGATGGAGGCCCGAAGGCGGGAGCCGGCCGGGACCCCGCAGCCCGCCTCCCTCTAACCGCTCCGCAGCCGCCGGCCCGCCCGCAGACTCCCGCGTCGGAGCCCCCGATCCGCGCTCAGAGCCGCCCCAGGCCGCACGTAAGTCCCGGGCCGGCAGCTGGACGGCTGCCCCTTCGCGACCGCAGGGGGCCCGGGGCTCCGGGGCTCAGTGGGGTGGGGTGGGGGGGAGCTGCGCCCGAGACCGAGCCGGGAGCGGGGGCGCCCGGGATGCGGAGAGCGCTGGTGACCTCCGAGACTGCCCCAAGAGCGCACACGAGGCCCCTTTCGCGGGCACGGCGGGCAGCTCCGCCTCGGGGCCCGCAGCAGGACCACGTTTTTGTTCCCCGCGCGGTGGTGATCCGCTACTTGGGCCGCGCGGGCGAGTCTGCTCGCCTGCTGGGTTCGCGCCTTCGCTCCCCTCCCGGGGCCTGGAAGAGCCGTGAACTTGGCTTTCTCTCGGTGTGCGGCGGTGACTGACGCTCTGAGGTTGCTTCGGGCCGGATAGAGAAGCCCTGGCCGCTTCCTCTTTCGGGACCCTACGCTCTGCAGAGTCTCTGCCTCCTGTCCTGGGCCGCCAGCCTCCTCTTCCAAAACGCCCCTTCCCCCTTAAAAACCCGAAGTGCTGCAGAGCAGAAAGGGAAAGTATTCTTACTGCAGCGGTGGGAACCTCATTGTGCCTTTTGGCCCCTGCCTGCTGTGCCAAGATCTCCCTATGAAAACTAGAAGGACCAGGTGGCAGCAGCGCCCTGGGTCCCAGTTTCTGGGTCCCAGTGTGCTTTCTGGATTTGACCTAGGGCCTTTCCCTTCTACAAACCGCTTGTACTTCAGAGAGGCCACAGCCCAGCTGTGAGCTCACCTGTGGCATGGTGAGAAACAGGTGGCCTTGCTCTTGCTAATGACATAATTGGCTGTTGCTTCTGTCTCCCCTGCAGCCTAAGTGGTGATCCTTGTTTGCTAATTCCCTGTGTTGGCTGCTGCAGGCCCCTCTGCCCTCAGACTTTCCACCGTGGGCAAGGCTGTCCTCCGGCCATGTCCTTTTCACAGGGGAAGTCAGTTTCAGGCTCTGGCTTTCTGGGGGCAGAGATCTGAACTTGTCACCTGTTGTCATCTTCCCAGAAGTTGTGTCCTCCGTGGTTTGGGGGTGTCTTGCATCAGGGGGCAGGGAGGGGCAGAAACTTCTGGCACAGTTGCCCTGCTGAGAAGGTGTTGTCTGGGAGGAAGCTGGATGGTGCACAGTGTCCCCAGGAGGCTGAGACCCACAGCCCACCGGTGCAGCCCAGGGAGAGCAGAGGTGGACCCCAGGAGTATGCTGGTCCCAGTTCTCAGGGCAGCCTCCTGCGTGCCAAGCAGGAGCTCATCCAAAGGAAAGGGGCCTTGGGAGGGAGAAGGGGAGGGCCTCGCGATCTGCACCCCAGGGATGACAAGCCGAGGGGCACTTGATGAGCATTGTCTGGGTCTGGGCTCAGAGACTGCTCACTCAGAAGCAGCGCCGGCCGGTCTCAGCATGCCACCAGAAGGAACTTACAGCAACCAGGGCGCCCTGGCAGGTCCTGTGCTGCGTGGCTGTGTCGACGGCCACGGGGACCACCTGGGGTTGCCCCTGAGCCCCAGGAGTTGGGAAGGGGTGGCACAGCAGCCCACGAAGTGTACTAAAGAAGGAGCAACTGCTGCAAGTGTGCCAGGGAGCTGGGAAGCGCAACTGAGCTCGGGGCCCACACCAGGCCATCCTGGACCCCTACCTGATCCAGTCTTGCCGGAGAGGAGGGTAGGACTGTGGTGATGCCAAGAGCTTTAACTGATCCCCAGGGCTGCTACTAGCTTATTCCACCCCTTGTGTGAATCCGAATAACACTTCATGCCATTTAGGCAGGGACCTCAGCTGGGTGGACATAGCCAAGGCTCACAGCAGAGCAAGCAACCCTGATAACCAGCAATTTTGAGGGCTTAATGTTTGCCACCCTTTCTTCTTTTTTCTCTTTTCTCTTCTCTCTTCTCTCTCCTCTCCTCTTCTTTCTTTCTTTCTTTCTTTCTTTCTTTCTTTCTTTCTTTCTTTCTTTCTTTTTTTTCTTTTCCTTCATCAGTAGCCTTCTGAAGTCCTGTTATACCCCTTTTACAGATGAAGAAACTGAGGCATGGAAAAATAAGATAAACAGGAACCTGGAAGCTGAGTCCCAATCACTGAGCATTTACAGACCCCCCCCCCAAAGAGAAAAAACACAGAACAGGTGAAGCTTATAAAGCTAGTCTGGTTGGGGACCCTCCTGAGAAAGGAAGAGCCTTTTCTTTGTTGAAGGAAAATGCCTGCTCTTAGCAGGGTCAGAAGCTTATCTAGCTAGCGGAAGGGGAGGGGAGACGAGGTGACCCTGGCCATGGAGGCCTGGCCCAAGCCTGCCTGACTTTCCTTCCTAATGACTGGATGATATGAGGTGGCAGATCCAGTTTAGGGCCTGCAAGCGGGTGATGAGTAAGTGCCACCTGGGTGTGGTGCCGAGGGAAGATGCCATAGACGTCGGCAGGGAGCTCTCCCAGGAGGGGAAGGAGGTAGGAAGTGTCTGAACATGCTGTCCTGAATTGCCACCCCAAGCTCACATCCAGGTCCTCTTGCTTCCCTGTCCAAGTCCTGTTCACCTACAAACACCCTCCCCAGCCCTTCCAGGAGATCCATCCCTAGGCTCCATCTCACGGGCCCCTGGTGTGGCCACTCAGCTTTGCACTGGACGTCTCAGCCCTTAACTGGTTACAGTCATGCCCTTAGATGTCTCCTCAGAGGCTTGGCTGTGCCCAGCAGATTGCCCCAAAGCTCGTGTTAATCAAGATGGTGCCACCTCTCCTGGGGTCGGCTCTTAACTATGCCCACTCAGAAACAGTTTCTACAGTTTATAGACTCAGGCTGCTGAATCAGCCCAAGAAAGCTCCTGGAAGAGGGTGTACAAGTCCAAAGGCTAGTTTATTAATTTGCAAGGAGACTTGTGGACGTGACACAGACTTGGTGTTGTCTGGGCCCTGCATCCTGAGCAAGCCAGACGGGAACCCAGAGATCAGAAGAACGTGGCTAGTGCTTAGCAGAGCTAGAGTGAGGGCCAGGCCAGTGGAGGATTCGGCCATGGTGTCCAGTAACGCTGGGCTGTGTGCCCCTCTCTCTGGCCCTCTTGCCAGTGGTAAACCAGATGCTCAGATCAACCTGGCTGTGTGCATCTCCTTGGCTGGTACAATGTAGACTTTTCCCCTTAGCAATTTTTCATTTTATTCACTTCTTTGTTTAGTGCTTTGCAAGCAGTAGCTCCTAGCTACATAGATTTGCATTTGCCACAGTTAAATAACTATTGTGCAGTCTCAGGGTTTATAGGGCCAGGCCTATAATGCAAATTAAGAGGATGGCCTGGTAACCTGGATGGGTCCATAGGAAGCTAAGCAAAGAACCATGGTGCCTGATCAGCAGAGAGACTCTGTGCAGCGGCCTGGGGTGAGACAGCCCCGAGGCAGTGCCTGCTGGGGTTGCCTCAGGCCACCTGCCCTGCCCATTGGATTGCTTGAGCCCTCTTGGGTCTCTGTCCCCTGCTCCTCAGAGCCAGTGCCCAAAACCAAGGAGATGTGACCTGGTGGCCTTTGGAACAGGGCAGAGTTGGCTGGACTGGGCTGAGTCCAGTGTTCAGGAGTTGGTTATTGTTAGCAATTGGGAAGGGCCTTGACTATTGCAAGCCTTGGTTTTATCCTCAGCAAAATGGGGGCAACCCCTCCGAGAGCTGTTGGGAGGGTGGGGCCAGATGGTGCGCAGAGAGCAAGTCTGGGCTCCTCAGGGGGGCCGCCATCAGCCAGGCATTTGCATTCTCTGCTGACTTGGGCTCCCGCCGCCCCAGAGGGCTGGACAAAGGCGAAGCCTCTGGGACCCAGCCCGGGGCAGAGGGGCAGCAGGAGCGCCTCCATGTCCTTCTGCAGGGCTGGTTTGCAGCTGAGGACAAGGCTGCTGGCCTGACCTTTCCACTGACCCGAGGGGGAACGTCAGGTTTAAGGCGGGGTCTGTGATAGGCATCCAGAGAGGAGGGAAGCATGAGGTGGTGTTCTGGAGAAGGAGGCTCTTTGGGAGTGCCCAAGAGGCCTCTAGGTCCGCCTCAGTGGTTTGGGCCCTGTGGTGTTTTCCCATAGAGAACACCTCCCCCTCTATCCACATGGTCCGCCCCGTGACATCAGTGGAATGGAAGCACCTTACAGGTGACATCACTGTTGCCCAAGGCAACACCTCCACCTTAAGGCAGCCTGGGAGGGGAAAGACCAACCCCAACTGTAAGACACATGTTGAAGGGAAAGGACATCGAAGGGGGGACATCCACAGGTCTGTGGCTCAGAGGCTGGGAGATGGCGGGTCACGGGGAAGGGGAGAGAAGGGGTGTGGCCCCCAGGTCTGTGGCAGGGTGGGTGGGGCTTTGGGCTTTGGGTTTGGCCCCAGGGCAGGGAGCTCTTGGTGTTGATGGCTGGCTCCCATCTCACATGGTTCTCTGAGCCTGACTCCTGTCTGTGAGGCAGGAGTGAAGGAGCAGGGGTGGGACCATCAGAAAAGTGACATTCCCGTCTGCCCCCATGAAAAAGTGAGAAATAGGGGTGCCCACGTCTTTCCTTACTGCGGGGGCTTCCATGTCAGTCAAGCACAGGTTATTCACCTGTGAAATGGACAGCACTGTGCTAGGGACTCAGAGGCTGTGGGAGACCCCACGAGATAGCCCAGCTGGAAAAGCAAAGTGGTCCAGGTGACCTCCCCTGGGGATCCTCAATGGGTTAAATGAAACCTGTGGCATTCTCCCCACCTCCAGGAGCTCCTGCAGGGAGCTGGGGATGTTTGAGCTACACTTGCTGTCTTAGAAATGGTGTTACAGTCATGGTCGACAGTTGCATCCCACCAAAGGGAGACCCTGGGGAAGGTACCATTCACTGGGCTGAACTCGCTCAGCCATCCTGATGTTCTTTGGCCACTTGTGGCTTCAGCCACATCTTAGAAGATGTTGCCCTCGTGAAGACAGAAAGTCTTCAGCAAGGGCTGCGGGGTGCCCACAGGAGGCGGGAATGAAAGATGCCGGGAAGGGAGGACTGCCCCCCTCTCCCCCTGGGGAAGGGAGGACTGCCCCCCTCTCCCCCTGGGGAAGGGAGGACTGCCCCCCTCTCCCCCTGGGGAAGGGAGGACTGCCCCCCTCTCCCCCTGGGGAAGGGAGGACTGCCCCCCTCTCCCCCTGGGGAAGGGTGGACCACGAGATGTGGTGAGCTCTGTCTACAGGAGTTTCGGGGCAGGAGCTGCCTCCCTTGCACCCTGGAGGTCTCTCATGAAAGTCTTTGCCTCGTGCAACCGGGCACAACTTCAAGATGCTTCCCCGGTGTTCGGCATAGCAGTGGCTAATGTCCTAGCCCTGGTGTCTGTATGATTGCGACCTCTTCAGGGCTAGAGATGAAAGCTGGAGTCTCCTTAGCAGAGAGAGCATTTGCATTCTTCTGTTTACAAGTCAGGCCTCCAAAATCCTTTTTGAAGTTCATCAAAAGAGGATAACCTTCTTAAAAATCATGGCTTCGTTAATCCAGCACAGATTCTTAGCAAAGCCACCCTGAGGGTTCTTCTTCCCAAGAGCCCCTCAAGGTAGGTGCCATCGCAGTTTTACAGGTGAAGAAGCCAGCCCAGAGAGGTCAAGGGGCTAACCCGAAGTCACAGAGCTGAAAACAACACAGACAGCATTCAAACCTAGGCCTGCTCCTTCCGGAGCCTCAAGCTCTAGATGCTACCTTAGGCCGCCACGTGGACACCATGGCCCAGTGTGCGTGAACACAACGTAAAAATGCCACCGAGGTTGAGTGTTAAAAGTGAAAAGACAGCAGACCCACCACCAACTCCAGGCCTGAGCCCCTGGCCCCCTGCCTCGCGTCGACCTCTGTGATAGGGACACAGAGGGCTCGGTCTTCTGGTCTGTTCAGTGGGGTCAGTAGCAAGCAGTACTAGAGAATATTCAGAGCTCGTTGGGACTCAGATAAAAGTCCCTGGGAAAAATATGGCGCCACAATTGTGAAATGACTCACTTCCAGGTGAATTTCACAGTGGGCCACAGCCCGCCTGGGAGGAGGGACTCCGCGTCCAAGCTTTCTTCCTCGCGTCATTTTCCTGAAGGCAGGGGAGTCTCCTGCAGACCTGCATCAAACCAGCCGAGGGTGTTGTCCTCCACTCGGCCCTGCCTGCTGGCTCGAGTCACGTGCTCATTCCGCACTGTTCTCCTGGGAGCCTGTCTCAATAGCCTGCTGGCAGCCTGGACCCGCCTGCCGCTCCTGAAAGGGGCCTTTGTTTGCTGAGACTTTAAGAGGGCAGGACCACAGCAGGCAGCAGGGAAGGAGGGCAGAGGATGCTTGGGCCCCGCCCCTGCGGGCTGCCCCCAGCACACAGGCTCCCTCCCCCACCTCCAGGTCTAAAGAGTGCTCAACCCCCTTTCCTAACCAGCTGCAGAGGTCTCAGATGGCCCAGGTCACACTCTGGAAGGAGGGGCATTGGAGGTGGTGAGGCCTCTGCTTCGTGCCCAGACTCTGTTTCAGTTGTCACCTGCGTAAGGCTGCCACAAAACACACCAAACACTGGAGTCAAGGGAAGCGTTTATTGGGGGAAACTCGACAGATCGGAGGGAAGGGGTGTAGAAGGAAAAAGAGGGAGAAGAGAGAGATCGAGAGAGAGACTGAGAGAAAGAGCCATGTGTTCAGAACAGGTCCTCTTAAAACTTTCCCGGGGAACGGGCAGGGAAGTAGGAGCAGTGAATCCCATTAGGATGGGAGCGGAGCTGACACTGGTGGCTGGGCCATGTGGCCACCTGGCTTCCAGCAATGGTGGCAGGGGCTAGAGCCTAGGATGGTGTCAGGGTGTAGATCGCGCCATAGATAAGGCTGTGCCATTTTACTAACAACCTACCCTTCAGTAAATGCTGCACAGACATCAGCTCACAAGCAGCACAAGAAGGCTGTAGAGTTGAGGGTGGGCCAGGCCTGGATTTGAGGCTTCACCACTCGGTGCCTTCTCTGTAGAATGCAGATGAGGGCGTGCCTCGGAGATTGCACGTGAAGCATTCCACCTGAGCCTGAAGTTGCCGTTGGCTGAACCCTCCGTGGAGTGTCAGGGCTCCAAGGCTTGTCCAGTTTTCTCCGGGATGGGAGGACAGCTGGCCAGTCTGCCGGGAGCAAGTTCTCTGCTCATTCCCTTCCCTCATCTACTCACCCTGTACTCCTCCCTCCGTTGATCTCACCTTTCACAAGGGTCTTAAGCCAGGAGGCAGGAATGCAGGGGCGAGGCAGGAATGCAGGGGCGAGGCAGCTGTGGTCAGGTCAGCTCACTGTGGTGTTCACGCTATTCACGCCTGGTCTTTTCTCTCCGTGAACCTTGGCAGGAGTCCGCCTGCAGTGAGGGCTGGCCTAGGGACCCTGCTCATGCTTCCCCCTCCTCTAGGCTCCCCAACCCCACCCCCACCCCGAGCTCTTTGCTTCTCTCACTGCAGGGTGCCTGTCTGGAAGTTAGAATTCAAAGTTAACATCGTCCAGGGCTTCCCTCTCCATCCCGGGAACTTGAAATTCCTGCTCCAGCGAGGAAAGACACTGAGGATCTTTCATCCTAGTCCTGACTCCATTCTGTGATGGGTTTGCTCAACAAGCCCATGTGTGCAGCGGCCACCCCCGTCCAGTGCTGCGTGCTCGCACGAGGTAGAGGGACCTGTCGGTGTCAGCCCTGCCAGGCAGGAGGGAAGGAGGTTGCTGCCCAGCTTCCTGGGTCACCGCATGTCTTCTGCTCACTCTGTGGCAGCCTCTGGCAGCCCTTCCAAGACACTGAGTCGTTGTCACAGCTTCTGGAGGAGCTGCATGGGTGTCGACCACACTCTCTTCCAGGAGGCATTTATTGACTTATTATTTAGTTAAAAGGCAGAGAAAGAGAGAGCCTCCATCTGCTGGCTCACTCCCTAAATGGCCACAACAGCCAGGTCTGGGCCAGGCTGTGGGTGGCAGGAACCCAAGGATTTGGACTATCATCTGCTGCTTCCCAGGCACATTAACAGGGACTTGCATTGAAAGCAGAGTAGCCAGGACTCAAACTGGCACTCTGATAGATTTTTAAATCTTTTCCTAAGCAGCAGCTTTGCTCGCTGCACCACAGCATTCTCTCCCCAATGCTGACCTGTGGTGGATAGTTGTTTGGTGCAACAGTTAAGACATCCACTTGGGATGTGCCTGAGTTTGAGTCCTGGCTCATCCCAATTCCAGCTTTGCACTAATGCATCCTGGGAGGCAGCAGGTGATGGCTCAAGTACTTGGGTCCCAGCCTAGCCACATGGGAGACCTGGGTGGAACGCCAGGCTTCTGACCTGGACCTGGCCTCACCCCAGCTATTGTATGCATTTGAGGAAAGAACCAGCAGATTTTAGAACTAACTAACTCTCTCTCTCTCTCTCTCTCTCTCTCTGCCTTTCAAAATAAGTAATTTTTTTAATTCTTTATTTTTAAGAAAGGAAATACCTGACTTGCTCACCACTCCCATGCCAACAGCAATGTCCCTTACAAAGCACAGATGTGCAGAGCTAGAAGTGGATACTATGGTCCTAGCAAGTGGCTGAGCAAGGACTCAAACCCAGGCCATCTGGTCCCAGAGTTTGAGCCACACCTACTGTACTCTAAGCCTTACAGACTATCAAGCTCTTCTTAGCTGAAGAACTTTGGAGTGGTCCTTCCTTGGGGACAGGCGGCGTGTGTTCTTCTTGTGAAGTCAACACTGCCTTTGGCTGTTTGCTGCCTGCCCCCGTCTGCATGTGGGCTCATGCATTCAGCAGGCATCACGTAGATACCTAAGGCACAGTTCAGTAGAGCGCGCACGTCACTTGCGGCTCCAGCCCCATGGCTGGAAAGTGATGCGACCGCAGATTGCTGCTATGGCTTCGTTCTGTGTAACTCACAGGGAGTGTGACTGAATGATTGAAGATAATCCTAGGCACAAGTTTGCTGACTTTGCTCCATGCCTTATGGTCCAGGCCCCCGGCTTTCTGGCAAGGAGGCGAACTGGTTTGCTCTGACTTAACAGGCGTGGGAGGCAGGCAGACACCCGACTCCATTGTGCAGGCCAAAGAGCAGGCCACAGCTCTTAAGTTTTTTACAATTGGGTTGGCCTTACTGCTTGCCTTTGTGCCTCTTATTGTTCCCCATTTAATAGGATGAAAGGGATTTTTAAATCTTCATGGACACAGATCGCGTGCATGTTTGTGTATGTGTGTGTGTACATGTGCTCTGAAACCCCAAGAGCCTCCCCTCCTCTCCTCCCCCCACTTCCCCTCCCCAGCCCAG